AAAGCGAAGCAACAGCTGCTCTCAAAGGGACTAGAAGAAATGTCGCAAAGAATGAATAGGACACAATTGGATTTCAAACCACATCTATTAAATTTTTTTTCCACTGAGGGGTTCAGAGGCTGCAAAAACGCTCCTGCAGACTTAATATTTTCCACCTCACTCTACAACGTGGCAGAAATTCTTGTTGTTAGAACTGCTAATTGCAAAGGACATGTCATGCCAGAAAGAGAAGTGAGCTCATGCTCCATTTATTGAGGGAGCAGAGAGAAAAAGGAGAGAGGAGGTGTTTCGCAGCTGTCAGCCAGGACTGCCAGGAACAGCGTTTGAAACTTGGTATTCAAATGCCATGGCTACACTGGCAGGAAGAGGGTGGGATGCACCATAACACTGGCACTTCCCCTTGTAAGACCAGGCTCGTGAATAGTTCCTGCACTGCCAGCAGCATAGGCCAGAAGACATTTTTCTGGCCAGTCTCCATAGAGGAATCATTCCGTTCCTGACGGAAATGGCATCCTTCTTACCATCTCCAAGATACATTGCCTTTATGGCAGGCTGTTTTCTTGACAAAATGGTTGTTCTTTGGAGGCCTTCCAGACAGGATGCTGCGGTATCAAAAGGGTACGAGGACGGCTCACCCTGCTGACACAGCAGGATCCCAACTGCTAACAAGCTGCCTGGGTTTTAACTCAACATGGTGATAAGACCCCTCTGGGTCTGTCATTTTTTATTAGCCATTTTATTGGGTAGCAATAATAATTTTATGTTTCAAGTACAGTAGCAAAAAGCCAGACATACAAAAAGTGCTCACAGACTGAAAAAAGACCCATGACGTAGGATGCTGGCTTGCGGATAAGCGGAACCTCAAACTTTATCAAGTTTTAAGGGCATACGCCACCAGGTCCATACACCCCCCAAAAGTCTTGTTAACAATTTATGCGGTGTTGTCAGAAATTCACCAGGCTCAAGTTTTCACTTACTGAATGTGTAATGTTAACATGCTGAATTCAAGTCTCCTTCACAGGGGTGGGGGTGGGTGGGATGGAATCCTTTGTGTTAACTCAACTGACTTTTGATTCCAAGAGTAATTGTTTGGCATCTGTTGGATGCTATGATTCTTCCCCTAGGGATCTCCTACCTCATAAGTCTTTCCTATAGGTTTCATCTAACCTTACAAGTTTCCTAGAACTCTTTCCAGGAGGAACAGATCTCCTGGGATTCCATCCATTTTAAGAGTGGAATTCCACTTTCCCACCTCCTACATCTAACTCAGCTCCTTCTTGACTCCTAACTTCCCTACATACTCTTCCTGAAGGTCAGCTAAAAGAGTCAGATTAAGTTTCAATACGTCATTTGTCTATGACCGTGTCATAACTACTTTTCCTTAACTATCATATACAACATATAAAGAGGAGAGTAATTGTGATATCATGGATCAACGCACTCTACAAATGGTGCAGACTGTGTTGTTGTTGTTGTTGTCAGCCTTCTCATTATGGGCTTTATTCACGATAATGCAGAGACCTTCCTGGGGAGAAAAAAACCGCCTCTGTTACATCCTGTTTGGATGACTGCAGCATGCTCTACATGGGGCTGCCTTTGGAGACTGTTCAGAAAATTCCGCTGGTCCAAAATGCTTTAGCCAGACTGCTGTCTGGCACTGATTTATAGAATGCATGTAATTCCCTTATTACAACAGCTTCATTGGCTGCCAGCCACTTTCAGGGCCCTATTCAAAATGCTGGTTATTACCTATAAAGCCCTATATGGCTTGGGTCCAGGCAATCTGAAGGACATCACCCCATATGAGCTTTCTTGGCTTTTAAGCTCTCCTGGGGAGGTCCTTTTCTCGGTTCCACCATCTTCCTGAGCTTATTTGGTGAGGATACATGAATAAGTTTTAAAATGTATTAAATAACGAAAAAAAGCACAGAATACCAAGCAAAGAGAATTTAGAAAGAATAGTAAGCAAAGCAGAGCTGCAAGGATGTCAGAACACTTAGGAATTTTAGAAAGCGAAGCAACAGCTGCTCTCAAAGGGACTAGAAGAAATGTCGCAAAGAATGAATAGGACACAATTGGATTTCAAACCACATCTATTACATTTTTTTTTCCACTGACGGGTTCAGAGGGTGCAAAAACGCTCCTGCAGACCGAATATTTTCCACCTCACTCTACAACATGGCAGAAATTCTTGTTGTTAGAACTGCTAATTGCAAAGGACATGTCATGCCAGAAAGAGAAGTGAGCTCATGCTCCATTTATTGAGGGAGCAGAGAGAAAAAGGAGAGAGGAGGTGTTTCGCAGCTGTCAGCCAGGACTGCCAGGAACAGCGTTTGAAACTTGGTATTCAAATGCCATGGCTACACTGGCAGGAAGAGGGTGGGATGCACCATAACACTGGCACTTCCCCTTGTAAGACCAGGCTCGTGAATAGTTCCTGCACTGCCAGCAGCATCGGCCAGAAGACATTTTTCTGGCCAGTCTCCATAGAGGAATCATTCCGTTCCTGACGGAAATGATGTCCTTCTTACCATCTCCAAGATACATTGCCTTTATGGCAGGCTGTTTTCTTGACAAAATGGTTGTTCTTTGGAGGCCTTCCAGACAGGATGCTGCGGTATCAAAAGGGTACGAGGACGGCTCACCCTGCTGACACAGCAGGATCCCAACTGCTAACAAGCTGCCTGGGTTTTAACTCAACATGGTGATAAGACCCCTCTGGGTCTGTCATTTTTTATTAGCCATTTTATTGGGTAGCAATAATAATTTTATGTTTCAAGTACAGTAGCAAAAAGCCAGACATACAAAAAGTGCTCACAGACTGAAAAAAGACCCATGACGTAGGATGCTGGCTTGCGGATAAGCGGAACCTCAAACTTTATCAAGTTTTAAGGGCATACGCCACCAGGTCCATACACCCCCCAAAAGTCTTGTTAACAATTTATGCGGTGTTGTCAGAAATTCACCAGGCTCAAGTTTTCACTTACTGAATGTGTAATGTTAACATGCTGAATTCAAGTCTCCTCCACAGGGGTGGGGGTGGGTGGGATGGAATCCTTTGTGTTAACTCAACTGACTTTTGATTCCAAGAGTAATTGTTTGGCATCTGTTGGATGCTATGATTCTTCCCCTAGGGATCTCCTACCTCATAAGTCTTTCCTATAGGTTTCATCTAACCTTACAAGTTTCCTAGAACTCTTTCCAGGAGGAACAGATCTCCTGGGATTCCATCCATTTTAAGAGTGGAATTCCACTTTCCCACTTCCTACATCTAACTCAGCTCCTTCTTGACTCCTAACTTCCCTACATACTCTTCCTGAAGGTCAGCTAAAAGAGTCAGATTAAGTTTCAATACGTCATTTGTCTATGACCGTGTCATAACTACTTTTCCTTAACTATCATATACAACATATAAAGAGGAGAGTAATTGTGATATCATGGATCAACGCACTCTACAAATGGTGCAGACTGTGTTGTTGTTGTTGTTGTCAGCCTTCTCATTATGGGCTTTATTCACGATAATGCAGAGACCTTCCTGGGGAGAAAAAAACCTTCACCTTAACGCAAAAGGTATGTTTGAACCTTTACTGCAAGTGCATCTAGTTGTCCCCACGGTGCGAAGCGGGATCCTGCACTTGACTAAGCCAGCACGGCTCTCCTAGAGTCCTTAGGGCCGCTCATTACGGCTCAGCCCATCACCCATTTGTGCTGCTGAAGGCTGCCAAACTAAGGCAGCTGACAAGCATCTCCCATGGTACAGCTGGTGAACCCTCTTCTCCCTGCTTCCATCCCAGCCGGCCCTTTTCAGGACTTTATTAACCTTTAAGAACGTGACCAGGTTTGATTTCCCTCCCCTCCCCAACATTTGTTCCCATTCCGCATTGTCTCTTCTGGAGTGAATAAGCCTGTAGGGCTTTACTGTCTATACCTCAGCAGCTGGGGAGCCACTTCAGCTGAAGAGCAGGATGAAAAATACGCAGGATGTCCACGCTGAGGAGACCCGACAAGTATTTCACCCCACTTGGTAAGGCTCAAACAGGGAACGTCTGAGAACTACTCTCCGCATTAATATGTTCTTTGACAATAAGCAAGAGAGACAATAGGACAAGCCCCCCAAAAGCACCATCCTTGCCACCTGAAGAAGGCATCCCTTGAAATTAAATGAGACAGCACACATTTCAGTGTCAAGAGCTTCAGGCTGCCAGTTAACTCAGACCGTCAGCTGAGTCTAGCAACCTAGCCATCACCTATTCTTGAATGGGAAAAGGAGAAACTGTGGGTGCTGAAGGGCTGTCACAAATTAAACACACGTATAATGCTGCAGCACATTCCAACTGTTTCAGCACATAAGGACCATGATTTGCATGTCATTTCCAAGAAAGGGGTAAATGCAGAAGTACTGCCAAGGTACATATCACGTTATGATAAATTTTATTTTGATTCTAACACAGATACTCTTAAAGGCAAAGGGCTACTCTTGAATGTAGTGAATATGTGAGTTGAAAAGCAAAATGAAATTCCAGGAATTTGCTTTTAATAATATACAATTTATGTTACTACATCTTCCCCAAATATTTCTCATGCAATCTTGAGTGTTAGATACATGTTTCTTTCTAAGGTCCATGGCATTCTTTGCTAAAATGAACTGACACTAAGTTAAAGATGCAATCCATATGCCAGCTCTAAGACCAAGAGGCGTTCTTCACACCTGCTCCCCATCTATGAGGTCTGGCATTTCAGGCTAACCTTGGCCTAGAAACATTGAGCAAAGTAATGGAATAGAAAGGGCTCTCTAAAGTATTACCACTTAGTTCTGCAGGAACAGCAAGCATGCACAGTTCACGGCAGACAGGATTAAAACAGGATCAGATGTGCAAAACTATTGTATGGATAAGTATATTACAAAGGGAAATCTTTGAAAAATCCTGGCAGCCCAAAAGTTCATATTTCTGTTATGAACACAATTTATTTCAAGGCTTTACTTAACAGAATGCTCCTACCTAGGCTGGTTTTCTTGGACTATGTTCTCTCCTTTCTGGTAGCCACTGTCGGCCACCTGAGTGGTGGACCTCTTAACGATCTGCTTCAGTTCCTGCTCCAGACGATCCTGGATGGCCTTCACTGTCTCAGGAATCTTCTTCAGCTTGGCCAGGCCTTTGATGAGGATGCCCATGAAGATGGAGCTGTTCTCTTCAGGATCCAGTTCCAAATCCTCCTTGATTTCCATTAAGCTGACATCTTTCCCTAGAATATTTTTTTTAAAGGAGAGAGAAAAGAACCACTAACATCAGTAAAATGCGTGTTTAGACAGAAAGAGAGAAAGAGAAAGGGAGGGAGGGAGAAAACTGAAAACATTATTACCGAGTGGAAAGCAAAGACCACTAGCTTCTTCACTCCCAATTTCTTACCATCAAACATTCTACTCCTTCTTTTCCTCCAGTACCCAAATCACCTGTCCAAATCCCACTACCACATAATTATTTAGAGCATATTAAAGACTTCACAGCACTATAGAATCTAGATAAATCTTGCAGACCGTTTGCATATTCCTGCTTCAACAACAAGCTGGCCCAGTACACAAATCACAGACCTCACAATTTTCTGGCACAGACCGAACAAAACCTGAGCATAAAGGTGTTTACACTGAATTTAAACACCGCAGCAATCAATAATATTGACCTGGAAAATTCATCACCTTCTGATTAACTAACAATTTCTGTAAATCCTTTCCCATCCCAACAGACTTCCTAACACAATGGCAGACTAAACTGTAAAATGCTGCACTTAATTCAGAGGCATAGCAACGTGAACTAAATCCAAGCCCCATCCCCTTGGCCCTCATCAACTTAAGAACGTATCAGCTGATGAACATCCTCCTGGTGCTTGTCTTTTTATGGTCCTGTGAGTGATCAAATCTTGCTTCTATTTACCAGACTGTATTTCACTGTCTGCTTTTTACGTGCAGATATAAAATTTTATGTTGTACTCTGCATAATTTATTCTTTCCCAGAATAAATTATTCTGGGAATAATTTCCCTGCTTCTACTGGATCTTTTTAGAGCTTCACAAAGCCCCACTGGTCTGCTTGGAAAGTGACATAATTTTCACAGCTGAGGTTCTACCCAGGTCACTAATAAGGAAAAAGAAAAAAAAAGAAAAGAAAAGAAAGGGTCACTTCAAAGCTTCCCAATGATTTCGTTCCCCTTTCAACCTGCAAATGGTGCTGTACTCAATGATGCAGATGAAATTTTTGAAATGTTTCAGTCACCTTACATTAGAATAGACATTCCAAACAGACAAGGAAAGGCAAGAGTTTTAATTGCATGTGCAAAATGAGATGGTTCGACATGGCACCGAAGATCAGAAAAGAGAACTTGAGGGTGAGTTGGAAAAGAGATGGAAAATTGGACAGCCACTATCATCACACCTTATATAAATATTATGTATAAGTCCAGCCACCTCAGCACATGAAAGAGTATTATAGAGTTTGAAAAGGTACAGAAAAGGATGAACAAAATGATCAAACACAGGAGAAAGAGCTGGAGCGTTTAGACCATTTTTAAAAAGATACAAAGCACAGAAAAAATGAACAGGATTTTCTCCTCCTGTATACATTTCGGCTGACAAAACTTAAATAAGATCACACCAGGAGTCTATATAGTCCATGACCCTGATCCCACAGTGGTCAAGCAGGTGCTTCTGGAAGACCTGCAAACAGGAAATGAGAACATTTGCTTGTATTCCACAAGTAGACAGCTACTTCTACTTGAAGTACTATATAGCTTGTCATCGAAGTGACCAACATGAATCTGACCTAACTCCGGGAGGCAGTGGAAGACAGGAGGGCCTGGCGTGCTCTGGTCCATGGGGTCACGAAGAGTTGGACACAACTTAACAACTGAACAACAACTATATAGCTATCTTAACCAGGAACTACTGGCAGGTCAAGAAGAGTTGGACACAACTTAACAACAACTATATAGCTATTTTAAACAAGAACTACTGGCAACCTTATCCTCCAACAAGATCTACTGGAAGGAATATCAGGACTGCCAAAAGCACATCCTTCATGCATAAAAATTCACTTGAGAGCTTTATAAGAGAATTATTAGGTTTCATGGAGGACAAGATCTATCAATGGTTCTCAGCCATGATGGCTAAATGGAATAGACACCATTCCTTTGAATATAAGGAGCTGGGAAGTAGGAGTTGGGGAGACAAGAAGAAGAAGAGTGAGCTGTTGCCATTATAGCCTTCTTGAGGGTTGGACTGTATGATCTTGGCAAAGCAGAATGCTCAAATCAATTGCCATTCAAATTGGTGTTCTTAGCTGTTCTTATATACTTGACTGTCACGGGTCTCCACATGCTTGCTATACATGCATAGCTTATGAAATCATAACATGTCTTGCAGGTTTCTGTGTATATTATGGTCAGTGGAAGCCAAATATTTGATTCTGGGGACCAGATAGGAAAGCCATTAGGGTACACCACGAAGACTCTAACTTTTCAAAAACTGCAACAAGATAAAGTAACACAAAGTTCCTCTTTCAAGGTAGGAGCAAACTGGGGCTCAAAACAGATGCAATGTTTATCACCCCCAAGTGGTGAACACTGTATAATCTTATCACAGCACATGATTTTCATCACCTACGATGTATTGTATTTAGTGGGTGTTGTTTTGTCATTAGTCACTGAAAGATAAATAAGGATTATTTTGCATGTCTGTTGCTAAGACACCTATCTCTAAGGGAATCCTGTTATGTGTGGGGAAGCAAGTTAATTGTAGGGAATAAAAACTCCTTTATGGAGGATGTGAAGAAGTCTTGCTGATGTTTTGATTCAGGTCAGGAGAAGGTTTTATAAACATGTCAACACAACTTGTTGAGAATTTCCGATCCTTAAAAAAAAGAAAGAAAGAAAGAAACAGCACAAGATGCCAAAAGACAGAAATTACTCACCGAAGTTTGGTTCATTTGCTACTTCGTACAAGAAGGCAACACTGACCACATATTTTAACAGTGTATGTCATACAGAAGAGGAACAAAACATGCTCCACAGAGGAAGACCTGGACTAACAGATATGAATTACAACAAAGGAGGTGTTGACTAAACATTAGAAATAACTTCCTGACAACAAACTCTGTTCAACAATGGAAAACGCAACCTTGGAGGGTAGAATGTACTGTACTCCTACACAGAAGGTTTTTAAAGAGAGGGTAGATGACTATCTGTCAAAGATGCTTTAGCTGTGGGTTTCTGTACTGCAGAGGACTGGCGTCCATTACTCTTGGAGTCCCTTCTAGCTCTCCAATTCTATGACTCTTGGCACATTTTACACAAGACACAACATCTAACAAAGAAATTCTTGTCTCTGCAGCAAGGAGACTTTATTGCATTGTCTGATTTAACATACAAGGAGAAATCATACCAGGACTGACATGACCTAGGCCAAAGTATCATTGTTTTCACTGGCTAGAAGAAAGGGAGGATGGCACACAGAAAGCTTACCATTCCTCTCCTGAAGAAGCCACTTTGTTGGTCACTAAGTATAAAGGAGAGATACTTATACTGCCTCTGAAGTGAGAGGAATGAAAACCAAGTCAAGCAACCTAACAAATTACACTCCCATTTGTTCAAGGGAATATCTTTGCGTCACTAAGCACACTCAGAGAATACCATATTTTACTCAGAAAATTTTAATTCAGTAACCTGTATTATGCAAATTTGAACCATGTAAAAAACAGTGAAATTTGCTCATTTTCCTCTGCTTGCTATTGCCTCACTGCCTTATATATTCCTCCTAAATAACACAGTTCTATAAATAAAAATACATTGGGGAGGGAGACTTCTAACACATACGTTTACACGTAACAAGGAGTCAAACTACAGAAAGTGAAGTGTGAATCTCTATGTTAATTGAAAGTTTTATGCCAGACACAGATTTATACTCCATTTTTTTTAAATTCCTAACACTGTTGATTCCATAAAGCGGTTGACATAATAGAAGCTCCATTGCATGGATGGTTCTTTAACAGGAATGCAATTTCAGACAAAGGAAAAAAAATCCAGTGTCCCTTTGGCACCTGGGTTTCTATCATCTCCAAAGAGGCATATTCAAAAGTCTTACAGGACATGGCATGCACTCCCCAATGCCAATGGGACGAGAAGCAGAAAGACAACACTGGAGCTTCATAGCCCTTATGGCAGTCTCTGCCGTTTCTGGGAGCATCAATAAAATATTGCAGGGAACAAGCAGTAGAGTACGCCTGTGTATCATAAAGAAGGCTGACCGCCAAAGAATAGATGCTTTTGAGTTGTGCTGCTGGAGGAGACTCTTGAGAGTTCCTGGACTGCAAGGAGAACAAACCTATCCGTTTTGCAGGCAGTCAACATACCATGTGACACCCAAACCCTCATTTCCTGTCTGAAACACTGCTGAAATGGCAGGTATACAACAGATTAAACGCCTATTTGTACCTGCCAATTTTCTATCCAGTATGTCCTTCATCTACTGTTGTATTAGTATTTCCATTAGTCCTAGGAAACACAGGCAATGTGAAAAAAGAAATTACATACATACCTGCATACATGCACAGACAGACAGACAGCATATTTTTCTGTGTATACCCCCCCAACGTATAAGATTGCCCCTTAATTTTGACCCTTGCCGGAGCTGGAGGAGCAGTTAATGGGCAACTGCTCCTCCACCTCCATCTCCTGCTGCCGCTGCCACCACTGCCCGATCGCCTCCTCCATTGCGACCACCGGGACTCACTTCCAGCTCATGTCATCGCCGCCTTGTCCCCTGCCCGAAGGGAGCGCTGGAAGAAGCGACGCGGCGGCAGCAGCCAATGGGCAGCAGCAAGAGGTCCCCAAGCTCATGTGAGTGCTCCTTCGCCTCCTCCTGCTGCTGCCTCCGCCCTCGGAGGGGACGAGGCAGTGACATGAGCTCTGGAGGAGGCAATCGGGCGGTGGCAGCAGCAATAGGTACCCGAGAACGTACGAGCGCTTCTTTGCCTCTGCCTCCTTCTGTGTATAAAACGGTCCTCAATTTTTCCCCTAATTATTTTAGGAAAAAGTGTCATTTTATACACGGAAAAACACAGTACATACATACATACATACATACATACATACATACATACATACATACATACATACATACATACATACATACATACATACATACATACATACATACATACATACATACATAAAAAGCCATTCACCAACATTGTTGCTTCTGAGTTGGACTCTCTGCTAAGCCTGCATTAACTGTAAAACTTGGAAAAAATAACTGAACTTCAGCAAAGCCCTTTAGATTAAGAGAGATGACTCAATATCTGTCTGGCCTTAGTCTCCTTTACTCTAGCTAATGTCACCTCTGGGTCTGAAATCCTCAATTTTTCCCCTAATTATTTTAGGAAAAAGTGTCATTTTATACACGGAAAAACACAATACATACATACATACATACATACATACATACATACATACATACATACATACATACATACATACATACATACATACATACATACATAAAAAGCCATTCACCAACATTGTTGCTTCTGAGTTGGACTCTCTGCTAAGCCTGCATTAACTGTAAAACTTGGAAAAAATAACTGAACTTCAGCAAAGCCCTTTAGATTAAGAGAGATGACTCAATATCTGTCTGGCCTTAGTCTCCTTTACTCTAGCTAATGTCACCTCTGGGTCTGAAATTACCCCCTTTCTCTCAAAGCCATCTTCAAAAGTGAATTTATCGAGAGGAACATAGCTACACACAAATATAATAAAAGAGGATATATGGAAATACTGTATACGGTTATTGTTTTTACCCACTCACCACTGGCACTTCCTGGGGTACCGAACTGGGAGGAATCGAGGAACTTGCGAGGCGTTGGCAAGTTAGTGACATCGAGAAGAGATCCGGGAGAAGCCTCCTTCCCAAGTGAACTGTATTGAAAAGAAAGGGAACAGAATCAGACCCCATTTCAAAGCAAGCACTCCTGCAGGCACAATTGCGAAGTGGAGGCACAAACAACAGCTGCTTCTTATAGACACTTCAAAATAGAAACTTCACCAATGGATGCTCCCACCTCTGTGGAAACCCATGCAGATGCTCCTGCATCAGATGCAATGCTGCCTTACCCAGGTCTAGGGCTAGAAGGGACACCAAGGAGTCAGAAGCCCACTCGACAGAGGATGCCCTGTCCCCACCTCTAAACTCAAAAACCCCTAACATTTACAAAACTATGACATACAGGCTACCACATTAATTTAGCTACAACCCTAAGACAGTTACTGAAGAGGTAGAGGGGGTTCCCCATTTCTATTTCCTGCGCCTCAAGTAGCAAGGGTAGGAAACAGCTCTGTCTTCATCTAGAAAGAACCTTGTGGCACTGGGGTTAAACAGTAGCATTGCAGCCAAAATTCTGCTCCCGGTCAGCATTCGATACCAACAGATCTGACAGTCGGCTTAAGGCTGACTCGGGCCTTCCATCCTCCCAACATTGGTGAAATGAGTGCCCAGCTCACAGGGAGCAATGTGTCGCCTATAAAATTAATTAAAAAATTGTAAACCACCCAGAGAGTGCTTTAAACACTATGAGACAGTATTTCAGGAGCACACTTTTTGCTTTTTAGACACTGCACTGGTACTCCTGAGCTACAAAGATCATTGCACCAATGCAGTGTAAGTCAATGTCTCATATCTAACACCTCGAGCATGGTCTTGCAGCAGTTCTGGATAGCCTCTGGACTCAGGCATTTATCAGGCATTCTGTAGAGAAGGAGAGCAGCCAGCCAGTCAAAAAGCTTTCCACAACTGCTAAATCAAAGAGGAAATTAAGACCAGTAGTAGCTGGCTTGAGTCTTCCTGTGAGCAAGCAGATGTTCGCTGAGATATGACTCAGCCTACATAACGTTTTCCAAATAATTATGCCTTGCCATCTTAGACCAACCTTATCCTCCCTTTTTCTTTGCTCTGCTGCCCAACCCTGTTGGTGGATTTGATGTAGAGATGGCGGTGCAGTTCGTCTATCAGCACCAAGTGCATATTCATCTTCTTACTGTGGAGCTCCAGTCTCAGATCACTCAGTCCCTCCACCTGAAGCAAGGGTCCCTCCAGGGAATCCACTGCGGACACCTACGAAGAAAATTCATGCTGTGTTTCAATGGCTTCTCAAAATTTTCACTGACAACCTTTCACTTAGCAGAATGCTCTGGCTAGGTCAAATCAAGACTACAACACCATAAATGAGATGACATTTTCTATAGAAATAAACAAGAAACGGTCTGTGCTCAAAAAAGCCAATCAGCTATAGGAAAGGAAGACAGGGGTCGGAAAGAAGGCTAACACTGAAAGAATGTCTGTTCGGACTAATTCCATATCCCGTATTTTTCGCACCATAAGACACACTTTTTTCCCACAAAACAGGGGGGTGGAAAGTCTGTGTGTCTTATGGAGCGAAGAAAACAGATTATATTTTCCTGTTTTCTTCTCCTAAAAAATTGGTGCGTCTTATGGAAAGGTGCATCTTATGGAGCGAAAAATACGGTACTATGTTTCACATACAGGTCTTATGGAGTGAAAAATACAGTATTTGTTTCACATAGGAGCGATGACTGGGGAGTTAAGTCAAAGGGCTTTACTGAGCGAATTAATTTTGAGGAAGGATTTCTTATTTGTTTGTAAATAGGTAGCACTCCTCTGGACTTGCTCTCCATTCGACACACTGTGACATCGATCCCTACATCTATTCCGGCTTTTGCCGCTAACTGGCTCAAACACTGACAGTGTACAAAACCTAACAGGGAAATGTCATTCATTTCGTTTATTTGCTTGCTTACTCGGGACTCCAAACCCCAGAATTCTTCTAAGGTGGTGATTTCTTCAGGAGCTGACTTCTACAGAGCATAAAGAGCAACAAGAATAATAGCCCCGGAAGTGCTCGGGCAGCTTCCTCCCAAGAAGCACTGCTGCAGGAAATGAAGATGCCTTGAAGGAAGTATCAGCCTTGTCCAGGCGACTGAAAGGTGTCTGTAGGTATGTGTTTGTCGGCTAGAACTTCCAGAATTCTGCCTGGGGAAAACTTAAGAATGTTGGAATCTTTATAAAAAAACACAAATAGCGCACCATTACAGCTTCCATCAGTGGCCCCAGTAAAGGAAAGACAGTGGGCACTGCTGAGTAATAAAAGCAGGGACTTTGAAATATATTTCCTTCCTTAGTTTTTGCTGCTCCACTAGCAGCTGACTGGTCTCTCCCAACCATAGACATCAAGAAATATGTGTGACTCGGTCATTCTTATATGTATCCTATGATTAAATAAGAAGCACGAGTCCAAAAAAGAGCCACAGAGGGGGACACAACAACAGGACCAATTTACATCTGACAAAGTGTTTAAGGTGCCCTTCCATGAGATTTTGGAAAAAAAACAACAGCTGACAAATGCTTCTGCAATTCTGTTTAATTTTATCAGTCCCCAATTTGCCTGCAGCACTGGATACACTTCATCATGAACCAATTAAAACAAAGGTGACCGGCAACAAAAAAGAAAAACTCATTTTGCAGGAATTCGGTATACATGCCTTAAGAAACAGAAGAGGTACGCAGAGAGCATAAATAGCTTGTAGCAAATTAAACAATATTTCATTTAATAATCCAAGACATCATTAGCATGAGAAATAAACCTCATACCGGTGTATAGCTCACTTGAGAGTGGGGATGATGGATGCAGATATGAAAACGTGGTCTCCGACTCATTTACTTAGGAACTTATCTCTTCAATCTGATCAAGAGGGATTGTTACATCAAGTTCGCCTCAGTTCTATGAACTTTCTAACAAAAAAATCTTGCTTTCTAGTCCCAGGAAAGTCCAGAATGTCTATGTTTAGTCAGCTAGGAAGGAAAAATATGGATGATCCACCTATGTATGCTGGGAGAAACCATTTGTTGCTTCATGCTAATAGGAAAACATATTCCACAGGAAAGATTGGAATTTACAATTCATTATAAGCCAATTGTTGGTTCAAAGGAAGCTGCCTACTTATCATAAAGGAAATTAAGGATGCAAGCGGCTCCTTTATCCTATGCAAGTCTGATCTACATTAAGATGATGCTCCATTTTGGATGCCAACGGTCTTCATTCCAACCTCCTTTTTAACAACATCTCCTAATGCAAACTTCCTTGATTTAATAATTACTACATGTCATACTAAGAAATCTATATGTGGGACAGGAAGCAACAGTTAGAACTGGGTATGAAACAACTGATTGGTTCAAAATTGGGGAAGGAGTACGACAAGGCTGTATATTGTCACCCTTCTTATTTAACTTATATGCAGAATACATCATGCAACAGGCTGGACTGGAGGAATCCAAAACCGGAATTAAGATTGCCAGATGAAATATCAACAACCTCAAATATGCAGATGATGCCACTCTGATGGTGGAAAGTGAGGAGGAATTAAAGAACCTGTTAATGAGGGTGAAAGAGGAGAATGCAAAAAATGGTCTGAAGATCAACATCAAAAAACAAAGATCAAGGCCATTGGTCCCATCACCTCCAGGCAAATAGAAGGGGAAGTTATGGAGGCAGTGACAGACTTTACTCCATGATGACTGCAAATGGTGACAGCAGCCAAGAAATTAAAAGACGCCTGCCTCCTGGGAGGAAAGTGATGACAAACCTAGACAGCATCTTAAAAAGCAGAGACAACAACTTGCCGACAAAGGTCCACATAGTCAAAGCTATGGTTTCTCCAGTAGCGATGTATGGAAGTGAGAGCTGGACCGTAAAGAAGGCTGACTGCCGAAGAATTGATGCTTTTCAGTTGTGGTGCTGGGGGAGACTCTTGAGTGTCCCCTGGACTGCAAGGAGAACAAACCTATCCATTCTGAAGGAAATCAACCCTTAGCATTCACTGGAAGGACAGATCCTGAAGCTGAGGCTCCAATACTTTGGCCATCTCATGAGAAGAGAAGACTCCCTGGAAAAGACCCTGATGTTGGGAAAGTGTGAAGGCAAGAGGAGAATGGGACGACAGAGGATGAGATGGTTGGACAGTGTCATCGAAGCGACCAACATAAATTTGACCAAGCTCCGGGAGGTAGTGGAAATCAAGAGGGCCTGGCATGCTCTGGTCCATGGGGTCACAAAGAGTCAGACACAACTAAATGACTAAACAACAACAAGAAGAAGAACATCAGGTCAAGTCTGACTTATAATGACCCTTTTCAGAATTTTCTGGGCATAGAAGTGGTTTACCAGTCCCTTCTTCTGGTGGGCCTCCTGGGATCATGCAGCTCACCTGAGGTTACATAGGCTGGCTCTTCTCCTAGAAGACCCTGGTGGCAATCAGATAAGCATATAGCTTGCTATTTGGTTCATTTTGGGTGCACTGTATTTCACCAAATTTCCCGCAACCACACGTATTTTAAGTAAGAGGAATCCACCCTTTTGTGTGACTGGGAGTGCTCTTGCTTATCCCATTCTGCAGTCTGTGTGGTTACTCAATTTGCCAAGTCCTTGACAACTCAAGTACAACTGAAATAAAACCAAAAAAGTTATACCTCATTAAAGACTGACTGATTTCACTTTGAGCTTTTGTGTTTTGCAATTTACTTCCTAACATACCTTGGCATTGCAATCCGCAAAAGCTCAACCTGAAATTAATCTACCTGTCTTTAAAATGCCACAACTCTTTCATTTTAATTTTTTATACATGATTAAATAGACTAATTGGGCTATCTTGTTGAAAATTCCTTGATCTAAGGTATTTTCTACAGCAAAATATTCTGCTGGAGAGCATCTATTGGAGTGCTTGAACTCCTCCGCTACCTCATTCCTTCTTGATATCCCTATCCGGGCTCAGTAAAGCTTGCAAAGTATTTTTTTTTAATTAAGCAGTTCATTCTCATGTTTAAAGAACAGTTCGTTGATGTTACTTAATGCCATTTAAAAATAACTCACGGCTTTACTTATTACTTTACCCATTACTTGTACCTACTTTGGCAAGTGAGGATTGATGACATATAACTTGAAAAAATGTCTCTCAAAAGTCTGCAAAAATGCAAAAAAGTAGCTTTTGAAGATAATTGAAAAATTTATTTTTTAAACCAATGAAGGACTATCATCTCCATTCGTCATGTTACATTTGAAATCAGATTTTTCCCCACTCATCTTATCTATAAAGTAACTTATGTAGGCAACTATCTCAGGTACAACACTTCACTTCTAAGCTCTGGGCTTGATTTAGTGCCAGGGTCCAGCAAGATCCGTTGGAACAAACTGAGAGACTTTGGAAGATGGGATTAAAGAGGGCTTTGAACAGCAGGCAGAGGTTCCAAAGGACATTTAAGGCCAAGACTCCATTTTTCATTTCTTCACAAGCCATCTGTCCCCCCCCCACGGTTTTCCTGTTTTACAAAGAAAGGCTATACACAACGACTAAACTATTATATCAGCATAAAGCTCTCAAGCAAGCCTTGAGGGGGGAAAAGCAAACCAAAGAGTCAATCATTTAGTGTAGTATTAAAAGCAGGCAGTGAGAAAGGCAATGGGGCTTTAATTTTCTTCTTTGGTGAAAACCGCAGCCATCTTTTTCTTTAAAATTGCCTAGAATGACACTTCATATTTCCCGAGACATGCTGGGGAGTTATGGCCTTGGCAGCGCAGCTTTTTAGAGTGATTGAATCCTTGAGGTAAACAGCATAGCCAAGGTACAATGTTATGGGGGGGCTTAGAGCTTCTTAGAAGCAGGAGCGACGCTTCAGCAAACTCCATTTAAACAATCCCTCGCCTTCCTACTCAACACATTTCATTCTTCATTACTGCCCATTACTAACATTTATCTGGGAAAACATTTAGAGACCAAACAGAAAGCCAAGTCTGTTTGAAGAACAGAGACTATCGTGTTGATGTAGACTCATCTCCATCAAAACCTATCCGGTTAAAGGCCTCGTGGGTCTATTCTTCCCTATTATTACGTGACAACATTAAGAATAGTTATGGGTTTTGATGGGCTTAACAACATCGCAGAATGAGCCAGATAGTCCCCTTCAACACAGTGACCCAAGGGAACCCATCAGCAGAATTTCCTTTCCCATGGAGCACTGTGGTGACTCCTAGGAGGAGCCACTGG